GAAAATTGGTACAAAATTTCAATAAATTTTCAATTGAAAAAATATCAAGTAGTAATGTCCAATTTTGTTCAGACATTTTTTACATGTAATCAGAAATTAGTTTAAATGTTGAATTATGTTCAGAAACTAACTGATTAAATCTATCCTTAGATTTTTCGAAATAATCCAAAGGTTGCTCGGTGGTATTCTACTTGAGTTTAAATTGGTTCTCAGTTACTTTAAATTGTATCGGTTGACCATTTAGCTGTTCTCGAGATATCGCCTCATTCTCACGCACACAGATATATAAATGTTGTTTTTAATTAGTTTGTAGTTTGCAATTGATGTCGAGGTTTGGATAAAAAATTTTTTCCTTTTTTTTTTTTTCGAATGAAAGGTCAGACGAAAATAAATTTCAAAGGAACATGATGAATAATATTTAAATCATATTCTATTAAGTCACTAGGTCATAAATCCTCCCATTTATCACTATCAGCAATAAATTTCATGTGAAGTAAAATTTCATGCCATCAATAAAATTCAAAAAAAATTTTTTCAGCTATTTTTTAAACTATTTTTGTATAATTTTAACGAAAGCTTTAAATTCTTTTATTGAAAAAAAAAAAAAAATTCTCTGATTCGTGTTGACAGAATGTTTATAAATTACCAACTTATCAAACGTCTTTATATAATTTTAGTTATTGATGAAAATAACTTTCATGGTCATACTCTTCATTCATTTTAAATACGTTGATCTTGTATACACACGTTCAGTGGTATAAAATTTCATTACCAAAACAATTCTTATAGTCAATAAAAAGACAGCTAAATTCACGTCATCAAAGGCAAAGTGTAAATATGCTTTGATGTTTGTAATAATCGTGAAAATTAACCAAATCATATTTTCTCTTTGTCAACCATGAAAATTAATGTTTATATTATTCACAATTTCCCTTCAAAGAAAATAGTAAAATAAGTCAAATAATATTCCAAGTAATTGTGGATTTTCTTTACGTATTTATAAAATTTTAACGAGTGTATTTATAGCCTAGACAGTTTATATCAGTATATATGTTAGTATCCACTTTCGAAAAAGTGGAGAAAAGTATATGAGGGTATTGGGTTAATCATTTACAATTTTTCGCACGTCTTGGTAGATGTGGCTTCTATTATTCCTTTGTTTTGACTCTTGTTCTATTTTTATAAGAACGAAACTTCAAGCACGAGTGTGTTTCTCTCCCTCATACTCTACTTTGTCGAGGGTAAAAAGTTGCTTGGAGGTTTGAAAAAATAACCTACAAATTTTTCTTTATTTTACATTCTCTTTGTAATCCCCTGTTTTAGAAAAATGAATATTTAACATTGCTATGTAGGATATAAATTTCACTTTATCATCGTGATAAATGAATTTTTATCGTAACTTTAGAAAATAAAAATTTTCAAGCTTCTTAACTCACCATCATGAGGGAAGATTTAAATATTATAGTCTTTATTTCCAACCCCTAAGACAATATTTACATAAATAAAAATAAACCAAGTCTTTTCTAGCCAAATTATCTCACACAAGTGAGAATATTATTTGTGAAAAAAAATCTTTCGTAAGATTATTGGAAATGGAAATAATAATACGAGCGAATAAGTAATAAAATAAAAATCTCTTGAAGCATTTACTGCTTACGATATTTTTCTTTCCATCCAACTCTCAAATTCGTATTTTATACGGCCATACGGCAGCCCACTGCAGTTGTTGGCGTGGAAATCAACAAGACTGCCTTGAAAACCAAAGATTTATCGCTGATATCTCGATAGTGAAAAATCCGTAAAATCTTCGTCGATCCGAATAAATATCCAAAGCCACTTATTCGAATAAGGTTAATATTAACTGGCTCGATATTTCCTTCTAAATCCATTTTATCGGAGGTGAAGTATTCCAATAGTCTAGGTGACATTTCAAGAGGAAGATAAACCGCAAAAGGTTTATTTATGTAAAGCAAATCCTTGAATCATGTAAATTATTAAATATTATCTCATTAATCATTTATTAATGTGCTTGAATAATTTTTCAGTACATGTTCTCGATGTATATTACACGACTAAATATAAATAACATTACTGCTGGAAAGTTTGGGATTCATACTTTAACGAGAGACGCACAAACTTGTTATATATAATTTTAGGTAGCACCTGGTGACGGCAAATCTGGAGCTACGTGACTCATTATTTCGCCTAAATTATTATGCAGCAGCTTTCCCTTGTATGTACAGACTTTGTTACCTCTGTATAACTAATCGGCGAGGTAATTATGACACGAGCTGGTGCTTTTGTTGCAATTCTCAGTTACGGATATACGACATTCAAACATCGTCTATCTGTAGAGAACTATTTTATATAGCTATTCACTATGTTCTCGAAAAGTTTGTTTCAGAAACACGAGAATATACCAGATTATTAGGAAATTTTCCTACAAGAGTTTATCAGTTACAAGAAATAAATAAAATATTTCAAAACTGACATAATTTTTTTCTTTATCTTTTAAATAATGCATTAGATATTATTCCGATGAAAATTCAAAAAACTTTACATGTATGAATGCACGTAAACATATAACTTTCGATTTTCCGGATGGCTTACAGAAACTACACAACAACTGAAAGTTCAACCATTCATCAAATTTGAATGTAGCAATTGGCGCGGATGTGCTTCATATGTAGATCATTTTCTGGTCATTTTATTGGTTTCTATAACGTTGTTTGCATGGCCTAGATAATGCATAACATGAATGAGATTTTATTGAAATTCATTTCATTCACACAAAAAGTCTTGGATATCAGTTTAATGAGTTTTAATCAATTTGTGTGTACCACTAGGAATTCCTCTTTAAACAGATATTGCACTACTTTCAAGTGAGTGTTGTATAAATACTATATGATACTCGGTTTACCTTGTTTTTCATGAGTTTTACGTCATGGTTGCCCTTGCGAATCTCCAGTTGGAAAGCGATTATTTGTTTTACCATCCACAGACCACAAGTCCAGAATTTGTATATAAACATCTAGATTAAGAGAAGTAGAACGCATATAGTTTGTTTGTTTTGTTAAAATGTGCATTTCATTTGGTATGTGTCTGCAAATTGTCTTCATCATGATTTCAATTGTGGAATTGGATTTTTTTTCTTAAAACAATTTTTATTATTGTTCTTCTTCATTTTGCAATATGTTATTACAAGAATCGTGTGAAAATTGACATGGGAGTTGAGTAAAAAATTACATGGATATAAGGAACAATGGAATAAGTAGAAAGAAAACAGATGAAATATAAAACAAAAAATAAGAACAATAAGCAAACAAATAAAACAAAAATATCTTCTGAAAGTATAAAATGATTTCTCGCCTTGAACTTCGTGCTATTATTTCCAACCTCCGTTGTTCAACGAACGTACTTATATATTTTTTTTTCATTTTATATGAAGAAGAAGAATAATCAACGAGTTTGCTGTGAGATAGAAATTTAGCCCCTAGAGCAACCTCATGGCTGGAAATACATTCAAGATACGCTTCTTCTTCTTCTTCTTCTTCGTCTTTCTTTTCTTCTACTCTGTCACGTCTTTCTTTTCCGCATTTTCAACCCCTTTAATCCATGACTCGATATATTGTATATATAGTAACTCTCAAGAGATTAAATTTTTCAACTTCCAATAGGATGCTCGTAGTCTTCTATTGAAAAAGTTTCTTTTCATAATATATTCAATTACTCAAGATTATTTTGATAAACATACTTTTAATTATTGATAATTTAATAAAAATTTTCTGCTATTTATGAGTGAAATTTTATGCTCTTTGTTAGCATTTATTCATATTTAATATTCTTAATAACATTAATTATAGAAAATTAAAATTTGTATTTTATTCTCAAAATTATTTATATGCACTTGAAATAATTATAAGTCGGTTCATGTAATTAATCTTACGTTGAATGTTGTGTTAAACTTAGCATTTTGAGAGATAAAAATAGTATTTATCTTAAAGCATCCTCAGACACAATTAATTGATGATAAATTCACCCTTAAGTATTCATTAATAAACATAACGGAAGTCGAGGTAAGATAAAGTACTTAAGGAAATTGTATATTAATGTAATACGTGAAAAGGAAAATATTTTTTCTGTTATTTAATTGTAAGAATGATGATTACCATACATAATTCATTATCAAGATGAATAAGAATAAATATTCTCTTCATTTAAATTTAATTATTTTTTAAATGAACGGTCAAGTAAGCATTAAATAAATCCAATAGTCATACTAGATAAATAAGAATCCAATCATTGCACATAAACTCTCCATAATTATTCACTAGAAAAAGAATTGTTAACTTCCTGGTGAGAATTAATGGACTTTCTGTGCAATCAGTCGATAATTTTTTGCCTGAAATTACAAAACACTTTTTCCTCTCTTGTTGATGGGAAGGTTGAGAGGGGCAGATTCGCGTAGAAAATAATGACGTTGTAAAAAATTTTGCAAACGTAGAACGTCAAGATAAAGCTGGGTGTTAAGTAGAGATTAATAGAGAGCTGTCAGACTTCATTCATTATTGGTTATATACAGTATAAGGGGTAGGAAATTATATTAAATCGGCTTTATGTATGCACATAAATACCCGATATGATAAACAATGTGTATTTAATGGTCTAATTGACCGTAGAGAGTCAACAGTATCCTAAAAAAACCACGTGACACATCGTTACTAAACTTTGCGGACATTAATTGCTCTCTGACCGAGAATTACGAGCAATAAACTGGACTGGAAAATTTCAATCGAATATATTAAACTTTCAAACATAAAACTCGTACCATTCTCCACAAGGAATCAGTGGAATGATGATTTCATAAAAATAAATAAAATCACAAGTTTATTGATGAACAATATTAAAAAATTTATAATTTGCATTTAAAACTGGCAATTTATATTGATGATAATCACAAAAAGTATCTAAGTTCTAATGAGAAATTTTTCTTTTTTCAGAAAGCAAGACTGGCTCGCATCAGAATTGCTAAGGCATCAAGTGGTGCAGCATTCGTTAGCAAGAAGAAAGCAGCAGAAGCAAGACTCGCTGCCGCCGAAAGTGGACTTCAGTCGGATGACAATTATAAAGAAGAAGATATTTTTGAACTTCAGCATCATCATCTTTTGCGTTGTTTGGAGAAAACTACGGTGAGTTTATGATTTTAGTATATTTATCATAAATAAGGAAAGACACTGATTACTTAGATCAATTGGAAATAGTTGGAATTATTGAAAGGAAATGATATTGAAATATACTATCTACTTCTTCAATGAAACAATGGTTAAAAAAATATATTTTATCGCTTTTATATAAAAAACAAAACATACAGACTATGTTGAACAAGTATGAAACTTTATGTTGACAAAAAAAAATATTTTACACGCGTGGAGAACGACGAAGTTACCAATTTGGAATATGTTTTTATATTCTCTAATAATTTTTTCCATTCACATTTTATCTCTTTGTGTTGCAACTATTAGTTTTGAAAGATTTGCTTATAAAGAATTTCTCATTTTTTCGATTGTCATATTGATTTCTTTATTAATCAAACGAAAATTAGACTTTGTATCAACCAATTTCATATAAAGGATTAAGTTATTCGTTGATGGCCTATTTGGGCCAATTCGGGCTGCAAAATTAAACAATAAAAAAATTAATTAAAATGTATGTCATTGTATGAAGCATAAAAAAAGAATAATCTCAGTTTGTTTGATATTTTTGAATAGAAAAATTTTAAAAATATTGTTTACAACAGAATTCAAATGAAAATGTTGAAGCCATGTTCAGTCGATAAATTCAGTGATGTGGCATTTAAAAGTTGGTTTTCCAGTAGGAAACATTAAAAAGATATTTTGTGAATATACATTCGAATTCCCCGGAAGCACTTTGGCTGTGAAACTCGGTTACTGCAAGTCGTTTACTTGTCAACTCCTTTTGTTCATTCGTATCGCCGTCGGGGGTGTATTAGATTGTATATATTTAACACGTGCGCATGTGTTCACGTCTATGACAAGGCACTACGCATTGCATATTGAAGTCAATGTTGCCATCAAGTCATTCATTACTGCTGCCACTGTGCACACGTTTCTCAAATTGATTACAATCTTCTTCATAGTATGGATGACACACAAGGACAATGCGCAAGAGTTGAATTTCCTTCACATTATACGGTCAAATAATCGTATTGAGAGTTTCCTATCTGATTAAGGTGATCTAGTGGACCTCCGACTAAGAGAGATATAGACTCAGTTGTTGTAGGAAATAATCGCTTGACTAAGCATTAAATTGCACACAATACAAGACGTTACGCAGTAGTGAATTACCTCTATCCCTGAATTTCCGCTCCTTGCATTCATTTTGAATAAATGATAGCTTTCCAATGCATATTTATTTAACCTACATATAAAATACTTCAATATAATTTTGTATAAAAATCTTCGAATAAAAGAAAGCTGATAGAAAGTGGTGGGAAAAGGAAAATAGTCGATTGAATCGGTCATAGAGTTGTGAATTCATATTGCTAAGGATCGATAAAGATTTTTTTTTTTTGGCTTATAAAAAGCCGTTCCTTGCAATATCCTTTATACTTATTGTCTTGTATAAAGGATAGAGAAAATGATTGCAAGAGATTTTAGACCTATAGTCACGTCCTGCATTTTTCTCGACACAATAAAAGGATAATGTCATAGCCATGATCGTAGCAAGGATTTACACCTTTATTTGTTCAAGTCACATCGAGACAATTTTTCTATCATTAATAAACTGTTTTAATGTTAAATAAATACCATTTTTAATATCAATATTTTTAATGCTAATTGCATTACTTAACAATTTGAATTAATGAATTTAATTATGCATTTTTAATTTATTATCATCAAGTTCTTTAAGTTCTATTTTTAGCAAACATAACTTTTTTAATTTTTTATACCTCTCTGTCTCTAGAATTACTTTTTTAAATGTAATTAATTCAATAGTTATTACGTTAATTAAGTTTTAGCTTTTTAATCAACTACAACGATCGATATACTAGAATTTATATAGAAAACATCTTAGGCAAAGAGTTAATTTTATCGGATGAGCTTTATTAGTAAAAATCATAATATTCCTAGGTCAATGAATAAATTATTCATGAGATATTTATACCAAAGCAATATGCAGATAATTACATTATCGGATCGAGAACAAAGGATATTTGGTATTTGTTAGATGCTTATGTAGATTAATTTATAAACCATTTTCGCTTGTAATCTAAATAAATACCAGGTATTTTAGGTTGGAATTTATATTAATACTTCAGCCATATTATATTATTTAGATCAGGCAGAATGAAAATAATAATACGACATTATTAATAAAAAAGATTAATTTTATAGATATAAAATATTCAACAAGTTTTTTATAGTTTGATTTTTGAATAATTTCATTATTCAGGCAAAATTTAAAATGTAAATTGATAATAAAGCCTGTTTTTAAACTTATATTTTTTTTTATTGAATCCAGATGAATAGAACGTATCTCTATTATTATTATTATTTATTCAATATAAAAAAGAGAATAATTTATAATCAAAAATTATATTTTATTATTTATTTTAAACAATATTATCAATGATTATTATTGCAGATGAGATTTGTGTAAAACAATGATGTCGATATTACTTTCGTCACACTTGGAACATTCGTTATATTTCGACCACTGGTAGTAAATAAAACTTATATGATAGTTGAGTTTCTTGTTCAGTGAGTTTCTAGCACACGTTTCAAATTATTAAATATAATGAAGAGTGAGCAAATGTTTCGAATGGCGCGAAGGGAAGAGAATATGAAATGTCTGCTACTCTGCTACAATACTAACTTCCCAACAAGTTAATTCTCGTGCGACTTGGACCGTTGCGTTTTCACCCTACACCCTCAAGTTAAATGACAAAGGGATCAATACGAAGTGTCTCAAGGGAAAGATAGCGGTGAATCTATCACAGAAATAAGATCATAATAACTTTGATAAATGTTTGTGAGAATGTTTGCTACATACTAACAATATTTTTTTAATCATTTCTTTAATATCTCAGTGAAAAACTAAAGTCATAAAAACATTCTTCTTCTTCTACGTAGGATAAAAAGAGTGATAAATAAAAGATCTTAAAGTAAAAAATAAAAAATTTTGTCTATAAAAAAAAATTAATCTATATTTATTATTTAATAAAAACAGTTGGAATATTATGTTAGATTATATTTCAAAAATAAAAGAGACGTTTTTTCCTCTTGAAAACAATTTTATTTGTTGAAAAGAAATTTATTGGAAAATTTGAAATTAAAAGAAAACCAAGTTGGTTGGAAAATTTTTACAAGCAAAGTGTTTTGTTTATACTTATTTCAATTTTGTTGTGTCTAAAAATGTAAACGTTGCAATAAGTGCATAAACAAGAGTTAATAAATAAAACAGTAACTCGACAAAAACTATTGCCTCAATTGCAAAAATAGTACATAGCTTACGCCAGTCTTCTCAGGCAATTTAGAGTTCTCATTTTCTTAGTTTAGAGAATAATACAACAATTCTACAGCCAGCGGCAATTTGAAAATGTCTAAAGCACGAGTAGTAGATTTTCAACGGCAGACAATTGCTGGCTGGAGATGGAGTTTTGCTATGTAATCACGAACCAAGTGGAAATAGACGAAATTTTAGGATAGTGGTCAGTAAGGATAGCTTTAAGATTCCACTAAACTGAAATGATATTGGACAAATTCATTTTTTTATTCTCGTAATTTCAGTGAGGTAATGGTTGTTATAATGGGCATTTTCTTCACACTTTCTTTTTACGTAGAAATGAGTTTCGCTTTATAATCTACAGGAAACCATTTACCTTAATGAAGTTTCGGTGATTATTTTTTAAAATTATCATTGAGCCTCTTAAACTTCATTTCTATTGTTAGATTAAAATTTACTTCAAATAATATTCTTTAGAGGAAATTATAATTTGTCTAAAGACTCTTCTCTGTTGATAAAATCATTTATGAATGTCATACTTATTGTTCTTGATTTTTGTTGATTTTTATTAAAAAAAAAACAGTGTCTTTTCTTATCTATAGATAAAGTTATAATTTATTAAACTATCACTATTTTTTTTTTCAAATATGATAATTAATTCAAGTCGATATTTATATTTACACTTTATTGAATTTAATATTTGTGCTGAATGTTTGATTAAATTAATTACAATAACAACTGTCACTAGTCAGCTTTCATTTTTCAAGCTCTACACCAGTCAGATTTATGGGCTAAATGTGTTACGAAATCTACTGTTGGCTCGATAATCACTCCAATTATTTTATTAGTTCAAATTGTAGGCAACTTGGCTTACAGAAATTAATACTCCAAATTAATTATCATGATGAAGAAATTAAAGAAAAAATGACTTTCACTTAAGATCTGATTTAAAGTAAATAGACATTTATTTTCACCATAATCCTTCATTGAGTCTATAATTAATTAGAGTCATTACAGATAATCTTTTTTGACATAAAACATCTAATTAATCTTACGATAAAATATACACGACAAATAAACTAACACTTTTTCGTGTATTAAAAACAAAAAAAAAATTTCTATCTTAAGTAAATATATTTACTTGGTTGAAAATTACTTGAACTAAGTAAACATTGCTTGAATGAATCATCATGATAATTAATTAAAGTAAATTTATGTACTAGGTGAACCACTCAAGATTTTATTTACTACGGGCAAATAGTCGTACATTTAGACACACGTGAAATAAATTTTGAAACAACATTTCAAGAGGATAAATTATTCTCAAGATAAAATGGATGGTGTTGAGTTTTTAAGAAAATCTATCAATGGAGTAGAGGTTGAAAAAAAATCTAGACAATTTTTTGATTTCACTGATGGAATGCAATAATTGTGAAAAATTTGAAGCAGTTACTTAGCAATGTAATTTGACTTTACAGGATCGAGAATTCGTGGAGATGGACGTGCCATTCAATGGAGCTCCTAAGCGGCCTGGGTCACCATCACCACTGACCTCGCCAGCCCATAGTACAGCTTCCAGAGGTGGACTATTGCAGTCCTGTTGTGGTCGTTGTTATCCTCAGCGTTATCAGGTACGCGGTCGGCAAATCCTCGTCTCAAGGACTTCCATCAGCGATCAGGGTCCTCCGTCTTTGTCATCGCAATCACAACCTTCACAAAGTCATACGCGTTTCGCGGATCCCGCAGCGGTTCCGAGCGTCGCTTTTAATATTCCTGGTGATACGGATCGTCGTCGATTCAATTCGAGTTCGCCCAATAGTTCTTATAACGAGACACGGGTGTAAAGCAATCATATTTATCATCAGTTATTAAAAATCATCATTTAATTAGAGTCTATTTATTATCATTAACTCGGATAATTAACGAGTATAAAATAATTATTAAAATGATTCCATGCGAAAAGGAATCTCGCGCACTTCATGACAGGGTATTCGATATGAGAGTATATTAAAACAATTAATAACGAGCAGAGTCCGCCGGTCGGCACTCGCCGCGACGGTTTTAGTCGGTACAGTTTATTACGTATCTTTGTTTATTTGTATATACATACATATTATATATATTAAAAAAAAATTATATTGAACGAATATTTCTTTCTTATCTACGTCGACGACTGAACTGGCCTGTTGAAATTTTAGCCTAAGATAAATCATTCTAAAGGAAAAGGAAATAATTAAGAAATATTTTATTTAAATAAATATATATTAAATATAAGGTCATCGTTCAATAATTATCATTAGTAACAGACGTACGCGTAATTCAATTTTGTAGTTGACACAATCAATTTATCGCTTCTTCGTTAAATTACGAAATAAAATTTAAAAAAAGTTATATTCCCAACAACCAAAATTTTTTAATTGATAAATCACTGTCACCACTTTTTTTTTAATTTTTTAAACAAATATTACATTTACAGTGATAGTTTTTTTATCAGAGAATTTTAGTTACTGGGAGAATAATTTTTTTTTTTTGAATTTAATTAATAAAAATGATGCGTTAGTTAGGTCGAAAAATGATTAAATAAATATTTCTTATGAACAGTAGGTTGAGTATTAGGTGCTATTTAATTTTAATCGTATAAATATTCTTTGAAAGAATAATGAATCAGTATTAAATCGAAATTGCGAATAATTTGATACAGCTCATGTAGGATTCAAAATGGTTCATAATTCATTAAGTGTGCCAATTGATCATCGTCAAATTTATGCTTGTGACATATCATCAACATGTATTCAAATAATCGAAATGTGAAGATATGCACATTTTCCAAGTAATTGACTCGAATTTTCCGAGAATTAGAACATACGAACATTAGGCAGGTATGGCTCGTTTGTTTCAAAAAAAAGAAAAAAAAAGTACATATCAAACGTGTATATTCGGCAAGCCTGAAACTATATCGGAGTGCAATTTAACTGAAAGTGTTCAAATGAAAATCGTGTTATACACATAATTACAATAGTGTAGATGGCTATTATAATTGTCCGGGGTTTAATGTCCATTCTGGGGAAAGTCAAGTCATTTTTATATACTACATGCATTACTATTCTCAATTATTATTTGCATTGTCTTGTTGACATAATGTTCATTTTATTTCAACTGTACATTGCCAAATACATTGCGAAGTTAATTGATTTTATGGTCAAATATTAAAACAACAGAAATTTTTTATTTGAAATTTTACAATTAACGTCACTCGAGAAGTTTGATATTATGAAATAATTTTTTTTCTGACTAAAATTACATTCTCGATAAAATTAACAATTGAAGTTTAATTAAAATATTAATATATTTGCGTAATATATTGAAATTTATGAAATTTATTCAACAAGAAAATTCTATTTATTCAGTTTATTATTTAAAATATTTATAAAATCAATAATATTGTGAAAATAAAATCATTTACAATATTGAATTCATTAAAAACAATAGCGAGAACGTAAAAGTGAATAAATCCAATATGAAACCGCAATTGGAAGAAATCAAAATCAATTGAAAAAAATTCTGAAAAAGACAAATAAATCAAAATAATGATAAAATCATGGTAAATCTGTAAGCGATAAAGCATGATAGATATTGGACGATTGACAGCAAAGATATTTACTCTATCGATCATATTTATTTTACTCAGAAAAATTGTTTTCCTTTGAATCTAAAAAAAATTCCACATTAGAGTGAAAAAAAATAATTTTTTGTCGTACGCTTTTTGCAACAAAAATCAAATGTCCATTTAAAATGTTAACAGGAAATAAAAAAGAATAATTTTATGAAACTGACTAGTATTTCGCATAAAAGCAGAGCAAAATGAATGATACATTTGTATATATAACCAATTGTCTGTTTTTATCAGAGACGCCGTCAGTTCGTATCCGATTAGGAGTCTTTGCTGGCAAATGGCGTTGCGATGTCTTCCACGGGAATTTCGATTCAGAAATCTTCCACCCCTTCTTCCTTTCATTTTACTCTCTTATATATACACATATATATATATATACATACATACATGTGTACTAAACTATCTCTTCTCCAAAGTATTTCGTGATATTTGCACTAAAAGCAGTGCGAACCTTCCCACGTCTTCCATTCTACACATCCATCGAAAGCCTGAGCTCGTGCCAACCTTGAAGAGAAAAAAAGTACGATAATGATGTTGGAATCCACATTTCTTTCTCTCCTTTTTTATTTTTTGCTTCAAAATAATTTCGGAAAAAAGTTAACTAAAAATTAAAACTACTTTTCAATTTGCTAAGAAATTTTTGTAACTTAATTAAAAAGCCAAATTTTCTTTCTCTACATCCTTAAAACGCCTTTTTATCATGCTCGGATTTTTTATCAAAAGAGAATACATCGTGTTAATCCTTCTTCTCCTAATTCTCTCATTCATCTCCTTGAAAAAAAAAAGGAATAAAAAATTCTCTCGTAAAATGGTAAATTCAATTTTTTGTCAGTTAAGAAATTAAAAAAAATATTTCGCAATCGCAAAATTCATTAAGGCAATGGATTCAATATTTAATTATTTTTAATCTTCTCTTGAGAAAAAAAAATTAGCAAAAAACTAGGATAAAATATTCTATAGAAATAATTCATAACACAATGCATGACGTAACTGAGAGACTATAGTTACAAATTATAAATGAATAATAAACTAAAATATATAAATGAGAAAAAAAAAATATATATATAAATATATAAATCCATGTATTATAGTTCATCATTAAAGTAAAAAACGAAAGCATTGCACACCGTGTAGTTATCAGAAATCAGCTTAGAAACTCGCATCGATTCGCGTGAAAGAATTGTCTCGTTTAGGAAACAAAACATAAATAATATGAACGATGAAAATAAGACTCAAAATTAGTACGTAAGAGATAAACTTAAATTTAAGGGAAAACGAGCATGCCTCGCGCCTAGAAGAATTATATAATGAAAATAAAACCTAATAATAATAATAATAATAATGATAAGTAGATAAAATAAATAAATAAAAGGACATTTTTTTCGATCGATCATAGCTAGGCCTATATTATACGTTGCGTGTGAATGGATATTAAAAGAAGAATTAAAAAACGTACAATGTCTATCGTATATGGAAGAAAGAATATATATTTAAAAATGCAATCGTAAAAGTGACCTGCATTGCAGCGGCGATAACATTAGATATTTATAAATAATAAATAAATAAATAGGTAAAAAGATGATATCAGAGTACGATTAATCGGTGAAATTTTGTTAGGACGATGTTGGCATAATTCCAGGAGGTTTGTTGAGCTCTGGAACACTGAATGACGGTACAAGTGGTGTTATTTTGTACTGAGGGAGTTACATGAATTCTCGTACAAGGATATAATGATAGAGTGGTTTAAACTACACAATGCAGTGATCGCAATGTCGCTCACTTGTCAAGGATAGTTGCTGAATAAATTTCGTCTCATTTTATATTTTATTGAACGTTCATTTAATCGCGATACTTACGGTCTAGTATATAAAAATAATAATAATAATAATTAGGAGAAAACGAGTGGAACAAAACAAATGATATATAAATATATACTTGATACATTCCTACACGGAAAAAAGGGTGTAATTGTTATTATTGCATCATCATTTAATGATTCTTATTAAATATAGAAAATAATTGAGGGTAGCAATTCAACGGAATTATTGGAATTTTTCCACTATTTTTTTTCACCAACTACTTATTAAATAGATAAAAAATATTTCATTGATGGATATTTATTATTTTATGATTTTTTATTAACAAGTAGATAATCAAATTTTTTTATCAATAATAATTATAAATAAATTGTTGAATATAATTATTGATTATTTTAATAAACACATCTTGATGATGGTAATTTTAACAATCTTTTTTTCCGTGGTAATCGAGAGAAACGTCTTATCATCAGTTTCAATGAAAGATCTGATTTGTTATAAATAATAAAAATAAGATCTTAGAGTTTTTATTCTATAATTGGAGCAATAAAAATACAATCTTTATATATAACTTCATTAGATGCTTTTAATGAAGATGGCTATTATATTAGATAAATTAATAATAATTATGACCTGCTTGATGGCAGGTTTATTGTTGACCCTATCCAGTCTGATATTATTTAGCATCTATAAAACGAGTTCCTTGTGCTTTATTTTAATTGAAATCGTGATTTTTAAGGTCGCACGTATTAGAGATCCGCATTATTTATACTGTGAATGAAAGGTACTAAGTTTAAACAGTGCAACCTTCTCACTTTTGTTAATAGGGTACTCGTTTTCATATTGTCGTGTGGAAACTTTCGCGTGTCTCTCTTATCTGTTTTTATTTTTACCTAGCACAACCATATCAGATTATTTTTTTCCCGTACTTTGTTTTACTTTATACTCGAAAAAGTAAGCTCTATTTTCACTCTTTGTATTGTTTTATCATTTAATATGACTTAGTAAAATTTATTACAATATAAAACACCTTGTAAGTCGTTGTACTCTCGAGGGGTAGATTTAAAACTTTTTGCCTCCGATATTTTGCTAACTTTTTGCCGAAAAATTCGGAATAAAATATTGTGGTAAAAATTATGTT